TTTCTATTTCTTCCTGGTTCAGTTTTGGTAGTTGATACATCTCTAGGAATGCATCCATTTCTTCCAGGTTATCTAATTTGCTGGCATAGAGTTGCTCATAATATGTTCTTATAATTGTTTGTATTTCTTTGGTGTTGGTTGTGATCTCTCTTCTTTGATTCATGATTTTATTTATTTGGGTCGTTTCTCCTTTCTTTTTGATAAGTCTGGCCAGGGGTTTATCAATCTTGTTAATTCTTTCGAAGAACCAGCTCCTAGTTTCGTTGATCTGTTCTACTGTTCTTTTGGTTTCTATTTCATTGATTTCTGCTCTGATCTTTCTTATTTCTCTTCTCCTGCTGGGTTTAGGCTCTATTTGCTGTTTTCTCTCTAGCTCCTTTAGGTGTAGGGTTAGGTTGTGTATTTGAGACCTTTCTTGTTTCTTGAGAAAGGCTTGTATTGCTATACACTTTCCTCTTGAGACTGCCTTTGCTGCATCCCAAAGATTTTGAACAGTTGTGTTTTCATTTTCATTGGTTTCCATGAATTTTTTTAATTCTTAATTTCCTGGTTGACCCCTTCATTCTTTAGTAGGATGCTCTTTAGCCTCCATGTATTTGAGTTCTTTCCGACCTTCATCTTGTGATTGAGTTCTAGTTTCAAAGCATTGTGGTCTGAAAATAGGCAGGGAATGATTCCAATCTTTTGGTACCGATTGAGACCTGATTTGTGACCTAGGATGTGATCTATTCTGGAGAATGTCCCATGGGCACTAGAGAAGAATATGTATTCCATTGCTTTGGGATGGAATGTTCTGAATATGTCTGTGAAGTCCATTTGGTCCAGTGTGTCATTTAAAGTCTTTATTTCCTTATTGCTCTTTTGCTTAGATGATCTGTCCATTTCAGTGAGGGGGTGTTAAAGTCCCCCACTATTTTTGTATTGTTGTCAATGTGTTTCTTTGCTTTTGTTATTAATTGCCTTTATATAATTGGCTGCTCCCATGTTAGGGGCATAGATATTTACAATTGTTAGATCTTCTTGTTGGATAGACCCTTTAAGTAGGATACAGTGTCCTTCCTCATCTCTTACTACAGTCTTTGATTTAAAATCTAATTTGTCTGATATAAGGAGTGCCACCCCAGCTTTCTTTTGGTGTCCATTAGCATGGTAAATAGTTTTCCACCCCCTCACTTTCAATCTGGGGGTGTCTTTGGGTCTAAAATGAATCTCTTGCAGACAGCATATTGATGGGTCTTGTTTATTAATCCAATCTGATAGCCTGTGTCTTTTGATTGGGGCATTTAGCCCATTTACATTCAGGGTAACTATTGAAAGATATGAATTTAGTGCCATTGTATTGCCTGTAAGGTTACTGTTACTGTATATTGTCTGTGTTCCTTTCTGGTCTATGTTGCTTTTAGGCTCTCTCTTTGCTTAGAGGACCCCTTTCAATATTTCTTGTAGGGCTGGTTTCGTGTTTGCAAATTCCCCTAGTTTTTGTTTGTCCTGGGAGCTTTTTATCTCTCTTCCTATTTTCAATGACAGCCTAGCTGGATATAGTATTCTTGGCTGCATATTTTTCTTGTTTAGTGCTCTGAATATATCATGCCAGTCCTTTCTGGCCTGCCACGTCTCTATGGATAGGTCTATTACCAATCTAATGTTTCTACCATTGTAGGTTACATATCTCTTCTCTGAAGCTGCTTTCAGGATTTTCTCTTTGTCTCTGAGACTCATAAGTTTTACTATTAGATGTCGGAGTGTTGACCTATTTTTATTGATTTTGAGAGGCGTTCTCTGTGCCTCCTGGATTCTGATGCCTGTTTCCTTCCCCAAATTAGGGAAGTTCTCTGCTATAATTTGCTCCAATATACCTTCTGCCCCTCTCTCTCTTTCTTCTTCTTCTGGGATCCCAATTATTCTAATGTTGTTTCGTCTTATGGTATCACTTATCTCTCGAATTCTGCCCTCGTGATCCAGGAGTTGTTTATCTCTCTTTTTCTCAGCTTCTTTATTTTCCATCATTTGGTCTTCTATATCACTGATTCTTTCTTCTGCCTCATTTATCCTAGCAGTTAGCGCCCCCATATTTGATTGCACCTCATTAATAGCCTTTTTGATTTCTACTTGGTTAGATTTTAGTTCTTTTATTTCTCCAGAAAGGGTTTCTCTAATAACTTCCATGCTTTTTTCAAGCCCAGCTAGTATCTTTAAAGTCATGATTCTGAACTCTAGATCCGACATCGTACTAATGTCCGTATTGAGTAGGTCCCTGGCAGTTGGTACTACCTCTTGTTCTTTTTGTTGAGGTGATTTTTTTCCATCTTGTCATTTTGTCCAGAGGAGAAGAGATGAATGAGAGAACAAAATGCTAACAGGGTAACAATGTCCACAGAAAATATACTCTAATCAAATCAGAAAAGACCTGAAGCTGGGGGAAAAGAAAGGGAAAGAAAGAAAGAAAGAAAAAAAAAGATAAAGATAAAAACAAACAAAAACAGAACAAAACAAAAAAAAACCAGTATGATCAAATATGATCAGGCTGGTGCATAGATCAGTGTCACACACTAGATTTGGGGTGTATTTTGGTCTGTTAGAAGAAAGTGCCTCCCAAAATTTTAAAGAAAGAAAAACTTATATATGTACAAAAATAAGGGTTGATATGATGAAGGGATGGAATATGACTGTAAAGATGAAAATTATTAAAAATTTTATAAAAGGAATTGATAAGAAGTTGTTTGAAAAAAGAAAGAAGAGGATTAAAAAAAAAATGGGAGAGAATGTGATCAGGCAGGAAACTAGAACAAAGCCATACACTAGAGATTTAGGGTATATTTTGATCTGTTAGAAGAAACTGTGTCTCAAAAATTTTAAAGAGAGAACAACATATATATGTCAAAAATAAGGGTAACTACTATGAAGGAATAGAATATGACTCTAAAAATGAAAAATAAAAATGTTTTTTTAAAAAAGGGATTGATAAGATGTTGGTTGAAAAAGGGAAAAAGATAAATTCAAAAAAAAAAGTTAAAAAAAATTAACTTTGAAAGACTAAAGAATCATGGTAAAAAAGCCATGGATTCTCTGTGCATTATTCCCCTAGCGCTGGAGTTCTGCTGTTCTCATTGACCAGTAAACTTGGTCTTGGCTGGCTGTTCTTGCTGATCTTCTGGGGGAGGGGCCTGTTGCCGTGGTTCCCAAATGTCTTTGCCGGAGGCGGACTTGTCCCGCCCTTGCTGGGTCCAGGCTAAGTAATCTGCTCAGGTTTGCTCTTGGGAGCTTTTGTTCCCTGCAAACTTTCCGTACAGCTTTGGGGGACAACAGTGAAAATGGCGGCCTCCCAATCTCCGCCCCGGAGGAACCAAGAACTCGGGCCCGCTCCAGAGTGAGCCCCCAGAGAAAAGCAGTCAGTCACTGGCCTGTGACCGAGCATTTCTATCTCTGTCACCCGACCCGATGTGGAGTCTCCAAACCCAGCAGATCTCTGCGGTGCACTCCCGTGCCGCTCCTCCCGGGGGAGGAAGGTGAGTCTCCCCGGATCTGCCACTTATTGGGTCCCTGCTGGAGGAGCAGTGGGCCGACTGTGCGGAGAACTACGGTTCATGGCAACCCCGAGCTGAGAGCCCGCTCCTGGGCTCTGTCTCTGCAGCCAGCTTCCCCGCTCTGATACCTGGGAGCTCTGCCGCACTCAGGCACCCCCGGTCTTTCTGTGACCCCACAGTCCTGAGACCACACTGTCCCACGAGGGTTCCACCCCCCGCTTAGCCACCGGAGCGACTTCCCACAGCGGAGCAGACTTCTAAAAGTTGTGATTTTGTGTTCCGGGGCTCTATCAACTTGCCAGAAGCGACCGACGGAGGCCCCCTCCCCTGGCGTCTATCCTCCTGAATATCTCCTCGGATTCACTTCTCTGCACATCCTACCTTCCAGAAAGTGGTCGCTTTTCTGTTCAGAGAGTTGTTGCTATTCTTTTCTTCGATCTCCTGTTGAATTCGTAGGTGTTCAGAATGGTTTGATCCATATCCAGCTAAATTACTGAGACCAGACGAAATCCAGGTCTCCTACTCCTCCACCATCTTGCTCTGCCCCCTCTATTTTTTAAAATTTTCTTATTGAAGTCTAATTTATATACAACAAAATGCTCAGATATTAAGTTGTAGTTTGATCAGCTTTGACAAATGCATTTACCTAATGTAACCCTCACCCCCACCCCCTATTAAAACAAAACATTTCCATCTCCCTAGAAGTTTCTCTGGTGATCCTTCCCAATCAGTCACCCATCAAGTAACCACTGATCTGGTTTAATTTTTAGAAATATTCTTAAGTGTATTTTTTAAAGAAAAATACTTGATGTGGAGCTTAATAGTAAAGATAAAATTTTTACTATAAGTTCAGTATAAATAGGTAGGAAAATAATGGCTGATTTTCTATCTAAACTACCCTATTAAGTATGATTAGAAATACTTTAGACTAACCTTTTAAGTTAACCTAGAATTTCAACACTATTCTAATTATACACACACACACACATATGTATAAATATACTAACACATACATATATATAAGTATACTCACACGCACACACACACACACCCTTTACACTTTGGAAATACATAAAGCTGAGGAGATGGGGAAAGTGAGTCCAGAAAAAAATTTAAATTGTATCGATGTCTATTGAGAATCTTTTATATATACATGTACATAAGCAGTACAAATAATGGTTATTTTTATTTATCTTACAAAGAACTCTACATATTTATTGAGATAAAATGTCCAAAGGAACTCCCAAAATCTCCCCAAAAATGTAAAAAATTTTTAGTATTTATGGGCTATGCAGCATCTTTTCTCTATTATGCTGTTTTCCCAATTAATTTGTTTAAATCATACCTTTAAACTCCTAGCAACTAAATATAGAGAGATTAGGAAGTTTAAATTATTTTGTCATGTACTTGAATATCAAACATTTAAAGAAGCTAGCAGAGCCAGGAAACTGATCTCTTTTGTTTCGTCATTCACAGGGTAGGTACAGTGGAGGCAGCCAAAATGAGAGCTTGCTTAGACTGGTTCATCACTGATGCATTTCTAATTCAAACGGACCATCTTTAAAAGTAAGAGGTGGGATGCCTGGGTGGCTCAGGTGGTTAAGCATCTGCCTTCGGCTCGGGTCATGATCCCGGGGTCCTGGGATCAAGTCCCGCATCAGGCTCCCTGCTCAGCAGGGACCCTGCTTCTCCCTCTTCCTCTGCTGCTCCCCTGCTTGTGCTCTCTCTCCCTCTCTCTCTCTCTGACAAATAAATAAATCTTAAAAAAAAAAAAAAAAGGTAATTTAGGCTCCTCCATACAGACAACTCACCCCTTTTTCTTTCACATCTAGGCTGGTTTGGGGTTATTAGATTCTGGATGGAGACCCCTGGCATAGTGAAAAGAGCAAGGGTGCTAGATCTGAACTTACTTGGGAGAAATGAACACTGCCAGGTCCCAGATACTGTGCCTTTTTTCGCTGATCCCCACAATTTTCACTGTGCATTTCTATTGGGAAATGTTTTTGAGCACATATCCCTGATACATGTGTCACTGTATTGCTATTACTTATATTATACTCCTATGAATAGGAATTTTTAAGTATTTTTTTTGTCTGTGATTTTGTTTAATTTTCACAACATCTGCATTTTATAGATGAAGACACTAAAGCTCAGGGAAGTTTAGTAACTTGCCCAAGGTCACATAATTTACTGAGTGATATTTGACAAATCCCAAACCAATATCCACTGGGGCCTCAGTTATAAAATGATAGATTCCAACTATGTGATCTGCAAGGCCTCTTCTAGCTCTGAGCAACCTGTTCTCTGCTATTGCTAAAACTCACCCATCTAGGACATAATCTCGGGTTTAATATTTCTAAGCAGATAGGCTTTATTATGGTCCACATATTAATAACTAGGAATTTTAGGAATTAGTGGGTTGTGGAAGAGAAACCGAATACTCAAAATAGTATCAAGTTAGCTTGGTCTTTGGTATAATTTTAAAAATCCACTGGCATTTTTGTGTTTAGAGTATATGTTGCATATTTAAGAGTTTGGTAGCAATAGTCACTACAAATATTATTTATTTATAAGCTATCCATTATCCTAAGCACCATAGGTAATTCTAACACTGTATTTTCATGAGGATTTTTTGGTAATTACTTTTCAGCATTTCCCATCCAGCAAAGTATTTCTCTGAGTACTTGTGTTGCAGTAAGTAACTGTCAGCGGGTAGGTGCCTCACTTCCCACAAGGCCAGCAAAACATTTTCATGTAGAAACTGTCTCGGTGCATTCCCTTTATAAGTCAACTCCTTTTCTCGTAAATGAACATTGCTATGATCAAAATCACTGTCATTTGCCTTGAAAGCATTTTCTATAGGTTTTGCTTTGTTTTTGTTTTGTTTTGTTTTTAGCTTTCTCTGGAATTGAAAAGAGAAATGGGAGGACAATTTTAGATTAGCACCTGTCTGAGAAATTCCAAAATTAGAGATGACCATCTGGTTTGCATGATTTGTAATATTTTAAAAATAGAATCTTGCTAAGAAAAAAAAAAAGAAGAAGAAGAAGAGGGTAGCGGGAGGGGAAGAGTGAAGCGGGGGAAATCGGAGGGGTAGACGAACCATGAGAGACGGTGGACTCTGAAAAACAAACGGGGTTCTAGAGGGGAGGGGGGTGGGAGGATGGGTTAGCCTGGTGGTGGGTATTGAGGAGGGCACGTTCTGCATGGAGCACTGGGTGTTGTGCACAAACAATGAATCATGGAACACTTCATCTAAAACTAATGATGTAATGTATGGGGATTAACATAAGAATAAAAAAAAATAGAATCTTGCCATTCTAAACAGACTTTTAGGGCTATTCTAAAATAATACTTAATTTTTTTCAGAGGTAAGATCTGTGATTCAACAGTCTTAAACAATTCACAGCGCTCACCATAGCACATACCCTATACCTCTGAAACAAATAATACATTATTAGTTAAAAAAAAAAGAAGAAGAAGATAGCAGGAGGGGAAGAATGAAGGGGGGGAAATCGGAGGGGGAGATGAACCATGAGAGACTATGGCCTCTGAAAAACAAACTGAGGGTTCTAGAGGGGAGGGAGTTGGGGGGATGGGTTAGCCTGGTGATGGGTATTAAAGAGGGCACGTTCTGTATGGAGCACTGGTGTTATATGCAAACAATGAATCATGGAAAACTACATCAAAAACTAATGATGTAATGTATGGTGATTAACATAACAATAATAAAAAATAAAATAATACTTAATTTTTAAAAAAGATTTTGTTTATTTGACAGAGAGAGAGAGAACACAAGTAGGCAGACTGGCAGGCAGAAGCAGTCTCCCCGCTGAGCAGGGAGCCCAATGCGGGGCTTGATCCCAGGATCCTGGGATCATGACCTGAGCCAAAGGCACTTAACCTACTGAACCACCCAGGTACCCCTAAAATAATACTTAATTTAAAACTATCAACATTTTACCATCAAACTGAAAGGAGGATAGTTAGATGTTGGTGATGTTCATTCCAAGAAGGAATGCTTCTGTAACCTCTCTGTCCTCTGATACAGACAGTATAAGGTCACATTTCCCATTCGTTGGACTCACATAACCTGAAGGTCCATCTTAGATTCCTCTGTGCTTCTAATTATTCTTTGGAATAATTTACTTAGGTCAGGCCTAAGATACTCAACCATGATAGCTCTTAAGATATCTGAATTTGTCCGAGGTCATCCTTAACTTGGGGGTACTTTAAAATTTGACTAGCTTTTGCCACAACTAATACTAAAGATTCAGAGAGCATATAAAAAGCACCAAGGCCATTGTCAAAGAAATGAAACTAAAACTTTAATTTGCCTATAAAATTGGATGTGGGGGAAGGTAAAATAAATGCATTTGAAAAACCAATGAATGTTAACTGTTGTGAACCTTTTGGAAAACATTGTAACAATATGTAACATAAACTTAAAACTACATATCCTTTGTGGAATTCTTAATCTCAGGAAACAAACTGAGGGTTGCTGGAGTGGTGGGGGGGTGGGAGGGATGGGGTGGCTGGGTGATAGACATTGGGGAGGGTATGTGCTATGGTGAGCACTGTGAATTGTGTAAGACTGTTGAATCACAGATCTGTACCTCTAAAACAAATAATACAAAATATGTTAAAAAAAAAAAAAAGAGGAAGATAGTAGGAAGGGAAAAATGAAGGGGGGGAAATCGGAGGGGGAGACGAACCTTGAGAGACTATGGACTCTGAGAAACAAACTGAGGGTTCTAGAGGGGAGAGGGTGGGGGGATGGGTTAGCCTGGTGATGGGTATTAAAGAGGGCACGTACTGAATGGAGCACTGGGTGTTATATGCAAACAATGAATCATGGAACACTACATCAAAAACTAATGATGTAATGTATGGTGATTAACATAACATAAAATTTAAAAAAAGAAACAAAAAGAAACTACATACCCTTTGACCTAGAAGTTTTACTAACTTAAATCTCTCCTGAATAAATAATCAGATACTCCAGCAAATATTTACATATTTAATATAATAGGCAATAGAGCAAAGTACAGGCTCTGAAGCCAGGTTGCCTCAATTTAAATCCTGGGTATCTACTTCCTCCTAGTATAGCCTTGCTTTAACCTCTGTATTGAGTTTCTCCATCTGTAAAAAGAATAGTCCCCCACTCATTGAATTCTTGTAAGGAGAGAATAATAATCCCCTCCAGTATCCATTAGCTACATAACAGTAGCTACATAACATAACATAGCTACAACAATGCTGTATAACAAATTACCCCAAAACTCAGTGACATCTAATGAGTCACACATCTGCGGGTCAGCTGGTGTTCAGCTTTTCCAGGCTGCGCTTCACTCCAGGCCATGGTCGTGGTTCAGGTGAGCTACAGTATCACTTACTCTCCTGGGACCAGTGGCCTACCAGGGACTGATCTTCTCCTGACAGTGTCTGAAATATAAGAAGGCAAGACCAATTATATGCTTTTCTTTGCATGGCATCTACTAAGAATCATTGGCCAAAGCAAGTCACATGGCCAAGCCCAACATCAGTGAGGCAGGGAAAGTGGGGCAGGGGGAGGGAATGAATATTTGCAATTCAAGGATTGACATACTGTTTCTATAAAGAGCCAGATAGTAAATATTTCTGGCTTTGCTGGTCATACAGTCTCTGTTGTAATCACTCAACTATGTTGTTCGAGCCTGAAAGCAGCCTTAGACAGGAAATCAATGCATGGGATGGCTGTATTCTAATAAAACTGTATTTACAAAACCAGGTGATAGACAGGATTTGCCTCATGGGCCACAGTTTTCTCACCCCTAATCGATTTATCACATTGGATCATAGAGTTTTTATGAAGATTAAGGAAATTAATGTATAGAAAGTGCTTGTAACAGTTCCTGGTAGAGTAGCACTAATAAATACTGACTTTCATTAATAGTGTTGTTATTACTTTTATTATAGCACAATGTTGGAAATAATAAAAATGTCCAACAATAGAGATAGGGTTGAATAAATTATGGCACACCCATACTCTAAAATGTTATACATTCATGTAAATTTTATATATTTTAAATAACAAGGCTATTTAATGGCCTAGGTACATGTTTGCAGTATGTTAAGTGAAAAAAAAAGAGACAAATGATATTTAACATAAGACTCCAATTTTATTTTTCTTAAAAGACATATATTTTTTATACATACTAGAAAACAATTAGGAAAGGAATATACCAAACTGGATCATTTACTACTTTTTTCTTTTTTGTTTTTTCAAGATATAGTTGATGTGTAACATGGTATCAGTTTTAGGTGTACAACATAATGATTTAATATATGTATATATTGCAAAATGATCGCCACTGTATGTTTACTTAACATCTACCACCACACCTAGCTACAGCATTTTTCTTGTGATAGGAACTTTTAATTATTTAATTAATTTTTAAATTTTATTTTAAATTCCAGTAGCGTTAACATACAGTGTTCTATTAGTTTCAGGTATACAGTGTGGTGATTCAACAATTCCAGACATCTCCCAGTATTCATCATGACAAGTACGCTCCTTAATCGCC